TCTTTCCCTTCCTCTCCCCTCTCAGTCACTGTCTCTTTCCTGACCTTCAGTTTGGCCTTTCCTAGTAAGAGGTCAGTATGTTTTCATACTTGGGAAATCTCATTCAAGAATTTTTGTCAATGGACAAGTCATAAGAAGCCCTTCCATTTTGGGGCTCGTTGACGTCACCAAGGAGGCGATAAATATCTGTTGATATAATTGGATGTGAGATTCAGTGTTGAGAGAGCAAAAATTCTGCCCCTCGTTCCCCAGCAGGGCCCTGTGATTTATGCAGGAGCAGAGGCAGCACGCAATCGAGCTGTCAAGAGAGCGTCAGCTTATTAGGCAAATGCTGCGTGGTTTCTGAAGAGGGTCGACGCTATAAAATCCCACTCCGGGCTCTGGTGTGGAGAAACTCGGAGCCCAAGTCCGTTGAGAGACTGAAGAGAAAGAGAAGAGGGAAAGAAGAAGAGAGTGGGCAAAGAAAGGAGAAGGGAAGAAAACCCCTGAGAAAGCCCCGGAGCCGTTCCTCTGCAGAGCGGCGCAGCGCTCCGCTCACCTGCAGAAGCGCCTCAGAAGGTAGGGAGCGCCTAGACGGAAACGCGCCTCCAACTTTGCACTGCCTGAGCTGCCACGGTGTGCGCCGCGCAGCCAGCTGTCCCTAGGCGTGCGTGTGTGTGCGTGTGTGTGTGTGTGTGTGTGTGTGTGTGCGTGCGCGTGTGTGTGTTTACCGACTGTGCCTCAGGATTCCGATAGTAGCTGGGATGTGGCTAAAGCGAACTTAGACGGCTGCTCATCGTTACCCGAACTGGCAGTTATCCCTCGCTGGCTGCGTAAATGAGCCCCCCATCCATCCCAGCCGCCGAGAGAAGGATGCAAGGGCAGGGATGGAGAACGACGAGGAGGAGGCAGCAGTTCTCAGTTCGGAGGAAAACGCTGAAACATCCGGAAAGGGTGGGGTGGGGGGGTGGGGGGAGATGTGTAGAACAGGTGAGATCTTACATTTGTAGGTCTTCTCTAGAGCTCGGGGGATTGGTTTGGGGGACCGTTACAAAGGGCACTCAGGGACCGTCCCTTCGTGAGTCTCGTAAGAAGAGTCAGTCCGGCCTGACGAGGGGCTGAGCTTTGGCGCCGAGCCCCGCAGGCGTCCCTTTTCCTGCTCCCCGTCTCGGCCTCCCTCCAACTCTGGAAGTCCGAGTTTGTGAGCTTCAGCACCGCGGACAGCGCCCGCCCGAGCCCCCGAGCCAGGTCTGTGGGTGTCGTCCTGTAGGAAGCCCCCCCACTACCCCGAGTGCACCTCCCAGTTGAGCTCAACTCTGATCAACTCTTGCTTTCTCTCTTTTTCTCTCTCGTTCCGCCCTCTGCCCACCTGGGTGCCGCACCTAGCGCCCCTAACATGCGGCTGCCGCTGCTCGTGTCCGCGGGCGTCCTGCTGGTGGCTCTCCTGCCCTGCCCGCCATGCAGGGCCCTCCTTAGCCGGGGGCCCGTCGCGGGGGCCCGGCAGGCCTCGCAGCACCCCCAGCCCCTGGATTTCTTCCAGCCTTCGCCGCAGTCTCAGCAGCCGCAGGCTCGGCCCGGCCTGCTCCGCATGGGGGAGGAGTACTTCCTCCGCCTGGGTAGCCTCAATAAGAGCCCCGCTGCTCCGCTCTCGGCCGCCTCCTCGCCTCCTGCCGGCAGCAGCGGCAGCCGCCTTTCGCCGGACGAGGTGGCCGCCAACTTTTTCCGCGCGTTGCTGCAGCAGCTGCTGCTGCCCCGGCGCCCGCTCGACAGCCCTGCGAGTCCGGTGGAACGCGGCGCCGAGAACGCCCTCGGCGGCCGCCAGGAGGCACCGGAGAGGGAGAGGCGAGCCGAGGAACCTCCCATCTCCCTGGATCTCACCTTCCACCTCCTCCGAGAAGTCTTGGAAATGGCCAGGGCTGAGCAGTTAGCGCAGCAAGCTCACAGCAACAGGAAACTGATGGAGATTATTGGGAAGTGAAACGGTGCGTTTGGCCAGAAAGATTCTACATTTAACACAAAAAGTAAAAATAAAAAATAATGCAGTATTCTGTACCACAGCATAGCTCTGATACCGTTTGTTTATTTTTATATAGCTTGAGACATAGAGGATGTACAGCAAGAGCGCCCATACTCCTTAGTGAGCATGCACAAAGTGTATTCACGTGCAGTATCAGCAACATCCTGTGATTTGTACCGTGTACTTATAGTTTCTATTTCCAGGTGTCTTTAACAGTGTTTTAAAAAGAGTATAGACCCAGGAGGAAATGTTTTGAAGAAGCAGACAGAAGTCACCCAATTGATTTTGTTGTGGTTTGAGCCAAAAAAAATGTCATTCTCTTGGGTGGGTGAGATAAAATCTGTAAGCTCTTTGAACCAACTTTTCCTTGTAAACGTTTCAGTAATAAAACAGCTTTCCAATCCTTGGTCAATTTGGTTGTGTAAGAGAACGTTGAATATTTATATTTCTAATAAAAGCTGCAAAGGTAATCATGACTTTATTTTTCCTCTTCAGTGCTCACGGGGGAATATACCCTGAGCTCCTTACTTCCTCCAAATTGACTTCAGCCCAAGAGAAAACAAAACTTGCATTTTATTTTCTACTAAAAACATGAACCTATGTCAGTGGCTTACACTGCAACCACCTTGGACTCATCTCTGCACCTCAGATTACTCCTCTGAGGTTAAGTTAAATAATTTGGAAAGTTGTTTTCAGTTCTAAGGCTTGGTAATTCTGTAAATGGAAGATTGATTCATAATGGAAATAACATCTAACCCTGATTACCTATAAGATGTGAAATAACTGGGGACAGTGGGGAAGGAGGAAAAGAAAAGAGAACAAGGGCTGTGGCGGGGCTTTCCTCCAATTAGGGGCCAAAAGGCTGCATTGTTTTCCCATGAGAAAGGCTTACTTTATCAAACGATTACTTTGGTACCATTAATTATCTTTTTTTCTAAGCTATTTTCCACTGCTGTCTTCTAGTAGGAGAAACTTAATAGCCTTTCCACTTAAAAGAACTAAATGTAGTTGCTGTAAAATGGCCCTTGGGAACATTTTTTTTATAAAGCACATTTTGACTTTAATAACTTCGCAAATACCTCACGTATGTCTATGCCAACCCTAATCACTTTAATTCTTAGGAATACAAACTATCTCTATGCACATCTGAAATCAAACAGCACACCTAATTAGTTTTACAATGCACTCGCCTTTGGTAGTTTAGTTATAACTTTAAAAATTCAATCAAATGTTTAATACTTCAAAATTAATTTGGATGGATGAGGATGCTTCTTCCCTTGAGACCCTTTAAATTCACTTGATTAGTGGATTAATAAGATGATATAAAACATAATGAATCATTGTAACACTAAGTTGTTAAAAACGGCATTTATTTAAGAGTTCATACAGAGTAAAGTTAAACTTATGTTTCGAAGGAGGCAAAATTATGGTGGAACAAATAAAGCATGATTTAAATACATATATATATATATATTTGTACATGTATAATGTGTATTGTGTGTGTGTATATATATATTTAAATACATGCAGTTATTCTACAGTTCAGCAGATTGGTGCCTCAGTGGATACGTAAGAAAATAGACAGTTCCTGTTGAAAAGTCTTTTTTAGTTAAAGTGCCTGATATCTGCATATCTAAAACTAAGATTAGAAAAGTGTCACAAGAAATGTCCTTGGCCTTTAGCCTTCTGGACTATGAAAGTATCACCAGAGTCAAAGAACATTTCTGGATATCCATTCAGCGACATCTATTGTGGAAAAGAGGAAAGCTTTGTGAAGCATCTCATATCTTTGGTCAATGATTTACCTTTTGTCCATATATTGATAAATCAGTCACTTCTGAATTAACACTGAATTTCACTGACCACCTGCACTGTTAAAGAGGAAAGAGAATAAGAGCTACTATGATTTCATAACAAAAGACAGAGCCTATTAGAGATGAGAGTGTAGTGCCCACATTTTTCAACACCTGCCACTTGTTACTGAAACACACACACACACACACACATAGCACACCTACAAACCCTTCATAATGTTTCCCACACAATAAAAGACTTGCGTAAGATCAAGTTCCTTTTTTCCCAATGCTTTCTGCAACTGTTTTCTCAAAGCATTGTTTTCCCTCAATGTGTTAGCTAAGTCATCTGGAATTAAAGGGTATTTTTGGTAGAAATCCCGTTCAGAGGTCCCTTTCATCACCTGCATACTATTAGTTTTATCTAGGTTCCCTGCTGCCTGTGTGAATCTCAGCCAGGCAGACAGAGGTGCAGCAGTTGGAATGAACATCATTCATTCAGGGAGTTCAACCAGGAAAAGGAGAAGACATGGCGAGCTGGCTGAGAATCAGCTCCATTCCCACTCCCTGAAGCTGCAGCCTGTCCCTGGAGGGGAGGGTCCTCAAATCCAGTCTGCAACAGAAGAAAATCTGCATCAGAGGAAAAAGAGGCCAGTCCTTTTTGAGTTGATCCAGTCACTTTTCTATTGAGGAGAAAGGATAATAATAATTATATAGGACATAATTATTGTTAGGAATGGAAAGCAAGCTCAGGTTATCTTGGCTATGACCAAGAGCCATGAAGGGAATTCACACTCATGATCTAAAAAGGGGCAACAGTAATGCATGCCCCTTGGGAAACAGTACAGGCTATTCTACTTTTTTTTAAAGTCCACTTGTACATGATTTACTGAGATGAAAATAACATTAAAACTAGTAGGAATTTGGGTTTAGAAAAATCTGCAAAATAAATAAAATCCTGATTTAAATGACTTCACTACATCACATGACATATTATAATCTCTCCACTGCTAAAGTAAGAATTTCTACCAGCCTGTGAAGAATATATATATATATATATATATATATATATATATATATATATATATATTTTTTTCAAAACTGCACAAACAGCTCTTCCTCAGAGAACTACCAAACACAGACTAACATTCTGATGACTTCACTGGTAGAGTTATCCCATGGGATTAAATGCCACTGATACCAAAGCAATGAGGTAGGCACATGCATTCAACCCAGAAGCCCTGGGTGATGTTATGAAGCTGCTGTATGAATGGACAATACCTGGCACAGGCAAAGCAGAACTTCAGCAAGTATGTTGTTTTGTTGCCACTCAAACTATTTTCAAGAGAAAAAAGAGTACTTGTCGTGCATTTTACCAGATTTTACCCTAAGCATATACTGGGTGCTTATGTTTCAAGTTCACTAAAATTTTCCCAAGTCCTTATGGCTTTAGGATTATCCTTCCCCCGCCATGTTGTGCGCTGATAGAAAGTTAAGAAGGGCCATCATACCATACGAGCCACAGTAGAATAAAACTAAAGCAGGTAGATTTCTATAAAGGAATAGTTGAGACATCAAGTGTGATCGGGCTTTTTTTTTTTTTTTTAAGAAGATGTTGGGGGTAGGAGTTTATTTACTTATTTATTTTTGCTGTGTTGGGTCTTCATTTCTGTGCGAGGGCTTTCTCTAGTTGCGGCGAGCGGGGGCCACTCTTCATAGCGGTGTGCAGGCCTCTCACTGTCGCGGCCTCTCTTGTTGCAGAGCACAGGCTCCAGACGCACAGGCTCAGCAGTTGTGGCTCACGGGCCTAGTTACTCTGCGGCATGTGGGGTCTTCCCGGACCAGGGCTTGAACCTGTGTCCCCTGCATTAGCAGGCAGATTCTCAACCACTGCACCACCAGGGAAGCCCGATTGGGCTTTTTTTAAAAAAGACTGTTACTAGATTCTGTTGGTAATGGGTTAGCCACTTCAATGTCCTTGAAGTTGACATGGAATAAACATCGTCCTGACAGAAGCCGGTGCCTATGCATTCGTGCTGAATTCTTCTCTTCCCCGTCATAGACACCTTACTCTAGCGAATCCTGAAAAAACCCAAGTGATCTAGGCATATCATTAATGTGTAAAGTACTTTTCTCTGGCCATTCTGTATGAGTGAAGAGTGAATTCTGCCTAGATGAACAGACCATCAGGCTTCATTTTGTAGCCTCTTTTCCTTGAAGGCAATTTCTAATCTAAAGGAAACTTCCATGATAGTTGTTCTGAAGTATCTGAAGGGTGAAACTAGAGTTGGGTAAGGTATTTTCTGCAGAGGGACAGAATCTTTGTGACACTGCTGGTGGCTTGCAAGCCATTTGGGGCTGCTTTTGGAATCTGTATATATTTTAGTGCTTTTTTTTTATACTCGAAATTAAAATCTATCTTCCATTTTCAATGTTTTAGCTGTTAATACCCCACAGCCTTCAGAACTTGGTATTAAATAGTTTGGGTTTGCTACTTTTACACTCTCATGTTTTCAGTCAGTTATTAGATTCCAAACAATATGGACCAATGCTATCTTTCAGAGAAGAAAGGCTGCTGCCAGAGCAGGGGGCTAAGAGCGGAGATTATCCTAAGTATCTATAGGTGATTATACCGTCTCCCTGGTCTTATTTATGTGAACCTGAGGACCACCCCGCCGCGAACCATCTCAGCAAGGAAGATTTATGCAAAGAGGCTTAGCCTGGTTTTGAATCCCAGACTAACAACTTATTAGCTGTATGACTTGGGCAAGTCACTTAACCTCTCTGAGCCTTAGTTTTCTCTTTTGTGAAATAGATGTGACACCCTATCTCACAAGGTTGTTGTAGGGCTGAATAAATAAAGTAATGCACCTAAAGCACTTTGCACACGACTCACTTATATTAACTGCTTCATAAATGTCCATTTCCTCCCTCCCTCCTTTCCTTTTCCTCCCTTCCTTCCTTCCACCCTCCCTCCCTTCCTCCCTTCCTCCCTTCCTTCCCTCCTTCCTTCCTTCCTTCCCTCCCTCCCTTCCTTCCTCCCTTCCTTCCCTCCCTCCCTTCCTTCCTCCCTTCCTTCCTTCCTTCCTTCCTTCCTTCCTCCCTCCCTCTCTCCCTCCCTCCTTCCCTTCCTTCCCTCCCTCCCTCCCTTTCTTCCTTCCTTCCTTCCTCCCTTCCTCCCTCCCTCCCTTCCTCCCTTCCTCCCTTCCTTCCTTCCTCCCTCCCTCTCTCCCTCCCTCCTTCCCTTCCTTCCCTCCCTCCCTCCCTTTCTTCCTTCCTTCCTTCCTCCCTCCCTCTCTCCCTCCCTCCTTCCCTTCCTTCCCTCCCTCCCTCCCTTTCTTCCTTCCTTCCTTCCTCCCTCCCTCTCTCCCTCCCTCCTTCCCTTCCTTCCCTCCCTCCCTCCCTTTCTTCCTTCCTTCCTTCCTCCCTCCCTCCCTCCCTCCTTCCCTCCCTTCCTTCCTTCCTTTTCTTCTCATATTAGCAAAGAGGCTCCTCTGCAGAGACACCTGGGGACTGTTTGTGAGGAATGATATACAACAGCCAAGATGCCCCAGTAAAGAAAGACAGTAGTATTTGTGATGCTCATCTTTGCAGAACTGGACATCATGTATAAGTTTTAGTTCCTGTGGCATATGCTGTAATCATGGTTACTCATCACCCAGTCCAGTGTGCCTCCACGTGGCCCGACTTCATATATGGCTCTCTCATAAAGGAAGAATGAGTTAAAAATTTAGAAATCTTTCTATAAGCACAGCCCATTCAATCGTAAGCAGACATGTTCCCTACAGCCTTCCCCAAGAGAACTGTATATATGTATTCCTTTAAATAGTTTTCCAAATGCTGGCTCTCCTTCATCACAGGAAGTGCTGTTTCTTGGGAATAATGATGTCTCATTGAAGCTGAACAAAGGACAGAGAATGATAAGCACTGATCATAAGCACTACCTGCTTTTGAGTTTGCGCTGCATTCCAGTTTATTCTGAGATGTGTGCCAAGGGGAAGAAAGGATTGTTAGTCCGATATCATTTCTAAATTTTACACACTTCCCTCAGGTAACAAATGAACAAACTTACAACCATCATTTAACACTGCTCTATCGGCATGGGGCTTCAGATACGTTGAGAAATGTGAGTTTTAGTCATAAAATAAAACCAGGCAATGGAACAGGAAGACAGAATTTTCCATCTCAACTGGGAGACCCAGTTCAGTCAAGATCCACAGGAGACTAGCTGAAGGGAATGATATACCTTTGCTTAAAAGACCATTTTCTCACATGAAGTTGACCAGAAATCCTGGGTATCCATGAACCAGACTCACTCAGAAACACAATCTTTTATTTTCCTTTGATTTATTTCCTGTTACTATCAAATGCCATTTGAAAGGGGGAAAAAAAATAGTGTCAGATTCTGATGCTAGGCTATCCTTTCCCTGCCCTGAAGAGCAGGTGGTGAGAGTTGCTTAGGGCTGAGTGATGTGTAAACATCATCCTTGTTATGTCATCGAGAACCATTTCTTGTTGATGGGGATAAAGTAGCATGAATTCTGCCAGAGGCTTGTGGATATCTTTCTCTGTGTATAGGACAGTTCCAGGTTATGGCCAGTGTTTGCTTGGCCTGAACTGTGCATGGTATTTTGAAAAAGGCTTGAATTAGTTGCAAACATTAAAAAATTAGGAGCAAGGGTGTGGAGAAATAGAAACTCTTGTGCACTGTTGGCGGGAATGTAAACCAGTGTAACATAGCATAGCGATTCCTCAAAACACTAAACATAGAATTACCGTATGATTCTGCAATCCAGTAAGAATTGCAAGCAGGAACTCACACAGATATCTGTACAACCATGTTTCCAGTGGCGCTAGTCACAATAGGTGAAAGCAACCCAGGTATCCATCAACGGGTAAATAGATAAACAAAATGTGGCGTATACATATAATGGGATATTACTCCATCTGAAAAAGGAAAGAAATTCTGACACATGCTACAACATGGCTGAACTTTGAGGACATTATGCTAAGTGAAATAAGCCAGTCACTAAAAGACAAATTCAGTACAATCCCACCATGAGGTATCTAAAGTCATCAAATTCATAGAAACAGAAAGTAGAATGGTTGTTGCCAGGGGTTAGGGGGAGGGGGCAATGGGAAGGTATTGCTTAACGGGTAGAGTTTCCGTTTTGCAAGATAAAAAAGTTCTGGAGGTTGGTTGCATAATAGTGGGAATTTACTCAGTGCTACTAAACTGAACACTTAAAAATGGTGGTTAAGGTGGTCATTCTTATGTTATGTGTTTTTAACCACAATTTTAAAAACAATATTTTTAATTAGGAGATTTCCCATTAAAATCTGGATTAGCAGGTCCTCTTGGCAAAGCAGAAATTTAGCAACCCAGAACCTACAGGAAGGGCTGAGCAGCACGGTCACTTTGGGCTGGGATGCACTCTCCCACAGAGTTTTCCACAGTGCTCACCACTGCCTTTTGCCTCCCCTGCTGCAAGGCTGTTTTCAGCGGTCATTTGCCACTGTGCTTGTACAGTTGCGACGCTCAAAGTAAGTTAAGAGGAAAGCAAACAATATCATGTATTATATTTGTGCTTCTATCAACATTTTTCCTCTCAC